TACATGAGGAGGTTGTCATCCTGTTCCCTAGTGTGACAGAGGTCTGTTGCAAAAAACAGCTAGCATCCCGTCTTGTGCTTTATTCGTTAGGACATTGATCCATAAGCATTCAAGGTCATTTTCTTCCAAGTTATCAATGACTCAGAAACAGATAATGCCATTTATGACAGAGTAAAACTCCTCCTCCCTTTTTGCCCATTCAATCCTTCCTAAATTAGTATTAACATTGATTTTAACATTCTAATTGCATGAACCAACCCATCAGATTTCAGTGATACCAACTACATTAAATTTATGCTCATAAACAGAGAATTCCAATGGCAATTTCTTATTTGTTACAAGTGAAATATCTAGGCTTTCAAATCCCTCTTCTTCCAAATACCGAAGATAAAACAGATTAATACACAGACAAAAGCAAAAATTCAAATGTCTTGACAGACTACCAGTTCAGGGCCTAATCCAATAAACACCCATTTAATTCTATGGGATTATTATCCTGGCAATAGTATTCACTTGCCATAATACATGTGCAGAGAAAGTGACCTGCTGTACAAAGATGAAGAATCTTTTGCTTTTTTATGAAGCTTGCAGAAGACCTGATTTTTTCCAAAATAAATATAAAATTAGAATATTCTGACTAAAATCCTTCCTCACATCCAATTGTTCACAATCTCCATTAGCTCTCCAGGTGCCCAGAGTGCCTCTGGACAAAATAGAGTTCATAAGACCCAGTATTTCTGAAGTAAAACAGAAGGAACAAAATTTCGTATCTTCCCTATATATTTCCCCCACTGGAGACATCCTTTAAAATGACACTCAATAACTGGATAGTGCAATTCAGATGTGTGAGAATAAATATGGTCTGGGGAAACAATTAAAAGAAAGGATGGTAGCAAACTTTTGAAATAAAAATCCTAAAAAAGTCAGGGAAAAAAAGACTGAGATCCAAACAAAGTGTGATTGTGACAATTACTATAACAGTCTTCAAAAATTCAATTAGGGGGTCAAAAGGTGATGCTTTAACTTTACCAGATACAGTGTTCATGTGTTCAGAATGTGTCCTTTAACATTCATTTTTGCAAGTAATTTAAAAAATATGCAGCATCCACTGGGAATTAGAATAGGGTCGCCAGGTATCCGGTTTTCACCTAGACAGTCCGGTAATTAAGTCTTCTGTCCGGTAAAAAACCCAGACAAATACCTGACACGTAAAATGTCCGTTATTTTCTGTTTTTCTTCGACAGAAGGCCAGCGGGGAAATTCTTCCCCTGCCATGTTTGGCAGGGAAGCGCGGGAATTTAAAGGCGCAGAGAATTTTTTTTTATTTTTTGCTCAACAAGTTTGGACTCCCTTTTTTTGTTTGTTTTGCTCAACCAATTTCCCTCTCCCTCCCTCCCTCCCCATGTTCGGGATTTTTTGTGAAAGTATTTGGCAACCCTAGATTAGAATCACTCATTTAACACTGCCTTTGGTCTTGCAATTGAAAATATTATAGAAATCACAGTATGATATACATGGTTCACTGCATTTATACAAAAATGCTGAAAAAACTTACCTGTTTTTTTGGTGATGATGATTTTGGTTTTCCTGTTTCTTGCACTGGCAATGCAGGACGACTAGCCTTATGAAGAACAGCCAAATCCTGCATGATTGAATTCAAAGCTTGCTGCTCATCTGTTTGGGATGGGGGGACAACAAAAAAGGACATTTAGAAGTTCAAATCATTATTTAACTTGAAAGTTGCATTGAAAAATTGACTAGAAAAGTAAATGTTTGCTCATCTCTTTAAAAAAAGGATGCACATATACACCACAATAAACTTAATAAAAAATAAATGATCTGGTAGCTAGCATTTTGCAATTACAGAAACATTCTTCATTTAATTTGTTTCCAGGAAGTATCATCATAAGCAGGACTTAAGGAAATGAACTTTTATTGTTAAAAATTCCTTATTTTAAATTTTTGAAAAAAATTAAAAGCAGCTTTCTAACAAATTAGGACTGACAATTCAATTCACCTTGACCCAATTGCAGACTGTATAACTAGGCAAAAGGTTTCAGAGGCTGTTCCATGTGAAACGCTTTGAAAAATGTGAGGAAAAAAAATGAGATCCTCAATTTGAAAAGATGCACTCTTAGGGTAGTAATTGTTTGAAGCACAGAAAGACCAAAGTTAAGACTTTACTCTGGGTATCATTCTTACCTAACCTAAACCAGAAGCACTCCAGCATACCAAACAAGCAACACACTGGAACTCTAATTAGAAGAGACCTTTGCTACTGAACACTTGCTGATTGCACTTGAAGTAGCTTTTTATACTACATTCTCTTTTTGAGCACTGCATCATTCTTAGGCAAAGGGGGGGGCAAATGAGAGTTCAAAGACAAAAGGGGTAACCTTAATATGTTTGAGCGAAGGGACAGTTAGAAGCTAGTCTGGCTGGCAATGGGGCAACCACACGCCTTTGGCTTACTCCAGCAGTGTGCAAGGATAAATGTACACTTGGAAGTGTAAAGGAAAATAATATCCCACTACACACGCAAAAAAATATTAAAACAGTGACATAATGAAGAATTCCACTCTGGATTTTCTCCATATTGAACTAATTAGCTAACTTCAGGACAAATTCTACAGCAAAATTCATAGAAATAGGTGGTGAGGAGCTCCCACGAGAATCTGGAGAACTGCTTCATGACTTTATATTCCATATGACTAAAGCTATTTGGACAGGAAAGAAAGCCCAGGTGATTGCTAGAAGGGAGAGAACAGTTGCATATATTGAAACTTGGTTGTTCTTGGAAATTCATGTTTTATATGTGAATAACCCTCCTTTGAGGACAATACAAAGTCAAACAACTATATTAATGACCCCATCAGTCCTTCAAAACAAGGATCAGCTGAGTTTCCAATGTTTTAATATAATATTGTTCACTGTAGTCAGCCCTGTAGAAGAATTCTATTAGATTATCAAAGTTAAATATTAATAGATGCATTGGTTCTATGCATAAATGAATGCCAGGTTCAAAGATTCAGTTTTATGACACTTAGCAAGCATTCTTGTGAAATGCAATTTTGTTATAATGTTAATTTTGCAGAAGGAGGAAGCAAGTTAAAATAACATGTTCTCACTTGAAGAGGTTTCAGAGCTAAGTCAAATGTCATCCACAAATATGAATGGTAAAACCACAACTACAGGATTTGCAACGGATACTATTCATTTATGCCATCGCCACCCAACACAAGGAAAAGAATAGCTGTGGATAACAGTCAATCTATGTTGACATAGCTAACATCTTTTTGAAAATAACTTTCACTGAGATTTACAGCAACACAACATTTCACTGTCAGCCTTCCTTTCTCGGGAAGCTGTGGCTTATGTTGAACGCTAAAAAAGGTTGAAAAGAATTCAATACAAACTTGCATCATGTATAAACAACTGTTTAATATAAATGGTAAAATAATGCAGATCTTTTTTAATCATCCAAAGACCTCTAGCCATGAATGCCTAAAACTTAGACAAGGTAGATATGGCAATATCTGGTATTAGATCAATTTCTGTTGGTGGAAGAGACACCTTTTTGAGAGTCACAGAGGTCTAGATAAATCATCTTTATTATTACTGACCTCAAAAATAGAAATCAATTTATGGGAAATTCAAATATAGTATTTATTTAAAGGTAACTCGAGGGCTGCACCCTCTGCTTGCTGTGCTCACCAAGCTCCCTCCCGCCTCCCCAGAGCACTGGGGAAGGGGGAGACTGCACAGTTCCTGCCCCCCTGGAGGACTGGGTATGGGGGGGAAGGCCGTGTGGCTCTGTCCCCTCAGAGCACCTGAGGGGGTAGGCCACGTGGCTCCAGGCTCTCTTCCTGGAGCATCAGGGAGGAAGGAAGTTACGTGGCTCCTGCTCCCCCTCACTCCTGCCCCCCAGAGCATGGAGGAGGGGGGAGGCCACAGAGCTCACACACACACCCCAAGCACCAGGGAGGGGGAAGGATGCGCCGCTCCGGCACCCCCTTCTTGAACACTAGGGAGGGGAGAGGCTGTGCAGCTCCCACCCATACACCCAAGCACAAGGGAGGGGAGGAAGGCCACGTGGCTCCTGTCTCCCCACCCCCCGCACTAGGGCAGGGGAGGCCATGCAGCTTGGCCCAGAGCACCGGAAAGAGAGGGAGGGAGGACACCGAGCAGCTAAGGGGGAAGGGGCTGTGGCACAGTGTGACGTGCTAATGTCACTCTGTCATTTATTTATTTTTTTATACATATATCTATCAGCGGTTCCCAACCTTTTCCAGATGGGGACCCATTCTGACAATTCAGGAAGACTTGGTGACGCAGGGAAATTCAAAAAATGTGTGAATGGTTCTTAAGAGCCACCTGGGAGACACCTGGCGACCCTTTTGAAGTGTAATGGCGACCCATATTTGGGTCCCAATCCAGAGGTTGGGAAACCCTGATTGATAGATAGATGATAGATAAAATTATATAGACAGACGAGACAGAGATGGGGGGAAAGGGGCAGACACTGGCAAATTCCAAAAATACCATAGCCTGTCTTTGATACAATACTATATGGCAAGCCTTGCAGTATAAAAGTCCCATATTATTGCAGTAACACTACAATTGTAAATGCTGGCAGACTCAGCACACAACTAAACATGTTAAAAATTTACCTATCATTAGCTAATAGCAGTAATGAGCTATCCATGAGTTTGTGTGGGATAAGGGTGATGATTTGATATATTTGAACTAAATATAAAACATCTGCAGTCTTTACACTAAAAAAGCTACATGTAGATGAGCTTTTCACTCCTAGAATTAGGAGCATTCAAAATTGCATTTAAAATGAAAAAAATTAATTCACTCACTTTTCAAAGAAGCTCCTCCACCTCATTTTGTTAGTAATGAGCAATGGATAATACAAAAATACTATTAGTGTAAAAGTATTTGCATCACTCCAAACAATTCAACTACCAGGCTTCCCACAACATTTCTCTTTATAAAGAAAGGAATCGAGGGAGGCTGCAGAGGACGAAGGGGAAGACCAAGCAATCTCTCCGGAACACTCCATTTGTTACAAAAGACCAACATATTAGAGAAAAAACATTGAGAGTTATTTTAATTCTGTATTTCTATATGCCCATTTCCATAGTTTTCCCTGGATACAACCATTGAAGGGACACTGTCAAAATAAGCAGGTCAAAAGTTTTACTTGGAGCTAACAGTGAAAATCTGCATTTGTAACAATGGTATAATGCCAATAAAATTTTTCTACCAAGGGAAAAATTAAGAGCAGATCAGCATCTTACTGCAATACTCTCGAGCAAGCCAACTGATGTACTTTTTCTCTTCACTATGATTTATGATGGAGTTTATGATGAAAAACATGGACCTAGATCAAGAGATTTGATGCACATCAGTGATGTGTTTAGTTAGCTCCCAAACTACTGCACGTCATCTACCATGGAAGATGGTGGAGGCATTACAGCTTCACCGGGATGACAATACAATTGTGTGAGAAGTCACCTCCCTGTCAGCCTTCATTCCATGCTCCTTAAACGTCTCTGCCAGTGGTTCTAGTTGAGACAGTGGAAGTAGAGGACAAAATCTGCCTGCCTATGTACCCTATGATAATGATTCTGGGCCCTTATGAAATACTGGGGAGAATGGACTCAGGAGTCCCAACAAGGCTACTGTGTGAATACAGAGAAGATAGGAGGCGGCATCCACCATTGATCACATCAGATGCACATGGGCCAACATTTTCTGTGCTTGATCATCTGAGAGTGGGTAGGAAAATGACATCTCAGAGGATAAACAGGAGAATGTGCTACTGAAATCTGAATATCATTCTCAACATAATCAAGGGTTGGTGATAACAGTTCATGCTGGATGGCTGGAGTCTGTAAACAAGGTGGTCTCCACGAAAAAAATTGGAGTAAGCAATCAAGAGAATCTGTGTGGAGAGCTGTCCAGTACCAGCAAGTAACAAGGATTCTAACTCACAAGAGGACACAGAGGGAACAGCAGGATGGACACATAGGAGCCAGTTTAATAAGATCTCAAGGAGAATGGTTTTAATAGCAAGACAGGAACTCATGTTGAGTGTCTGAACACTATGGATGTCAAATACTTGATAGGAGGTCATCCAGAGATAGACTCGGGCAGTATCAATGAAGAGGAATGAATTGATGGTATAGGTACCAGGGATACAGATGGGTCTAATGGTGTAGACCTCTGACCAAATTTCTACATTGGGTATGGCCAAGTATAGTTGAAGAAGTCCTCAATACAGAGTCCCATTCCATAGTATGTCTCAAAGGAGATTTTAGATGTCGTCAGAGTACTAGAGCCACTCAGTGCTTTCATGAATTCCACCTGGGACCTCAGATCTCCAGAGCCTTCTTCTCAGTGACAATCAAGACATCTAGTACATCTACTTTTCTTACACAGATTTAGAGGCTCTCTGTACTGCAGACATCAATATAGGTGCTGCCTCCCCTGAACCTTTCTGTCTCCAAGAGGATGAGTGGACAGAGTAGCAGTGCCTGGAGCCTTCAAAGCTCTTGCTGACCAGGATCCTGAAGTGAATAAGGTATGAAAAGTACTCATGTGTGCCTGTGTGCCAAGGGGTTCTCAAAGCCTTGGTCAGAAGCTAGTCCTAGGACTTACTCCCTCATCAATAATTTTAATTTCATTTCCATGTTTTTCCAAGATCTGCTTTTGACAGAGGAACATATTTTACACTTGCAGATGTAGGGGGATTCTCCCTAATATATCACAGGAACCAAGAATGGCAGACACTGAATGGGACAGCTTGCTGGTTGTAGAGACTCTGTTTACAGCTTGGGGGATCATGTCATCTACTCCAAAGCAAAAGCTCAGAATCAACCCTCAATCAGGGAAAATGAAGAGAAGGGGAATAACAAACTATCAAACTAAAACTATATTAGACATGGTTTGAATAAAGTCAGCATGGTCAACGTTCTGCACCACACTGAAGGGAGTCAAAAAGAAATGGAGGGCAGCTTACCTGTGCATCCTTAGTAAGGAGCACAAAGATGGCTAAGGTGCTAGCACAAGTCAATCAGATACTGTTCTTGAAAAATCTCCCATCAAAAGCGCATGGATGTGCACATGATCCTAAAGCAGAGCACCCTTGGGGACACTACTCAAAGAAGAATACCAGACATTATGTGGTATCTATGCCACACAAAGCCTAAAAGGGAAAATTAGTCCATTTAACTTTAGGCTGCACCCGGAGCAAACATAAGGAGTTTTAGGGCCTAACTGCAGATGAAGTCCAACTTGGGGGGAGCGAGAGAGAGAGCTGCGCAGGTCTACACGGAAAGGACATTGGTAGGTGACCAAAGGGGAAAACTTCACATGTACTCCCTGATACAAAGGGGAAGAGCAAGAAGCTTCAATGGGCAGAGTACAAAGCAGTCTAGGGAAGGAGCAGTAAAGGTTGGAAGAGTAAAACCCCAGAGCTGCTGGGTTGAGGATCCCTGGACTGGAAAACAGTGTACAGAGTGGACCCAGGTTCCCTACAAGCCACTGGAGGATTGGCACACACTGGGCAGTTTAACCTAAAAGGCTTGCAATACCCCAGAAATGAGTAGAAATATAATGTGACTGGACTGGAGGACTACTCTATGAGGAGGAAAGCACTGCAGTTCCTGGGGAATGAGGGTATGTCTACACTGCCACCCTAGTTCGAACGAGGGTGGCTAATGTAGGCATTCGAAGTTGTAAATGAAGCCCGGGATATTTAAATCCCGGGCTTCATTTACAACTTCGAATGCCTACATTAGCCACCCTAGTTCGAACGAGGGTGGCTAATGTAGGCATTCGAAGTTGTAAATGAAGCCCGGGATATTTAAATCCCGGGCTTCATTTACAACTTCGAATGCCTACATTAGCCACCCTAGTTCGAACGAGGGTGGCTAATGTAGGCATTCGAAGTTGTAAATGAAGCCCGGGATATTTAAATCCCGGGCTTCATTTACAACTTCGAATGCCTACATTAGCCACCCTCGTTCGAACTAGGGTGGCAGTGTAGACATACCCTGAGAGACTAGCTATGAAGGCTTCCAGCAGCATGGAGGAGATCAGACTCTCCCCTCCACCTTTGGAAATCCCCCGAGCTGCAGAAAACTTTCTGGCTGCAACCTTCAGATCTGGACTCTGAAAATTGTGCATCCTTGGCGCACTCTGCAGCTGGGGGCAGGAGGGGAGTGCCCAGTGGTGAAGGTTAGTCTGATCTGTCCCTCTGCATGGCCACTTTCAGAAAAGCGATTCCATCCCTCCCCTGCCTGACAGACTAACAGCTGGAGTCAGGTGAATGGCAGGGGCACTACCACAGGGGATATCATACAAACTTCCACCTCCAGCATTCTCCCCCAGCTGCAGGAAATTCTGTGGCTGTTGCCTTCAGAGACCGGCTCTTCAGGAAATGTAGAACTGAGGGTGGCAATTCTTTTAGGTCAGGAAGCTCATGGTTACAATACAGTGAAATTTCCAGATGTAAAATATCTGAAAACATTAAACTGAACAATTTTAAACTCCTTTGGCCATGAAACTGATCAAAATGGATTGTGAATTTCATAAGGGCTCTACTAAAAATGAAGACACGTTATATGATACAAATAAGAAATCTGAGTTTTAGCTTGAGAACACTTAACTCTCAGGAAGCTCATGGTTACAATACAGTGAAATTTCCAGATGTAAAATATCTGAAAACATTAAACTGAACAATTTTAAACTCCTTTGGCCATGAAACTGATCAAAATGGATTGTGAATTTCATAAGGGCTCTACTAAAAATGAAGACACGTTATATGATACAAATAAGAAATCTGAGTTTTAGCTTGAGAACACTTAACTCCATTAAACATCAGACACATGATTTGACAAAATTCCTGTACTTATAAATTTCAGTGTGTTCAGAAACAGGAGAAGAACTATATTCTTAAACAATCATAGTATATTAATATTTTTAAAGAATCAAATTAGGACAAAAATTTGCAGAAAAATAACTTCTTATAATTCCCAGATAAGTAATACGAGAGAGTTACGATTGAGAGTATGTATCGGTATTTTATATTAAAACGGAGATGGTGTAATCATTTCAAAAGCTAAGCAACATAAGACCTAAAAATGCACATTAAATGTAACAAAAAAAATCCAAATGTTTTAAGGTTCAGAAATGCATAGTTTTCGCATCCAGTCTTAACTTCACATTGTAGTGAAAATAGCGAACAAATATGTTTATGATTAAAGCATTTGAGTGTCTGTCGTCCCAGATTAGATTTAAATGATTTTTAAAGAAAGATTCCCCTCCCCTTTGATTTCATTGCAGAGTGACTGCTATGTAATCTAACAGCACGTTTCCATATATTTAAATTTAAAGAAATTGAAACTTTTCTATATCCAAAAAGATAGGGGCTGTAATTTCTGGGGAAATTGAGATTTTTTTTCCATATACAAACTGTTTGAATCCCTGCTTTAAGTGAAAACCTCAATTCAAGTTTAACTATCAAAACCATGACATGCACTTTCATAACAATACAGTTTAATTACAAAGGTGGCCTTATTCTTTTCACTCAGAATTAAGCCAAAGTAACAGTTTAATTGGATTCCAGTTATAGGTAACTTACCCATCATGGCAGCCAGCCTGAAAACCTGAACTTCAGGGAAATGGCATTCCCATTAGCATTCTTTTATTTTCTGAAGAGAAAAACAATTAACACACATAAGTAGTGAAAAGATTAAGAGTAAAGGTTTAAAAATATAAAGAAATCTATATGTGCAGTATAACTATTTTTACTGACGCCTAGATTTCTTGAGGGTTTTAAACCACGTCAAACTATGGAATTAAGTTTTAATCTAATGTAACCTCAACAACTACAATTTAAGGACCAAATTATTAATCTTCATTTCAGTTGCTACTAGCACATCAACATATGGATGTGAAAGCTGAAAATCTACTAGAGCAGTGATCCCCAAACTTTTCATGTTGTACCCCCATTACTCCTGTCTGCAATCCCAGCTGGGAGCAAGACCATGACTTGGAACGGTGTGGGAGCGACAAATAGTAAGGGGGCTGAGGCTAGGGCCACAGCTGGGTATGGGAGCAAGCCAAATGCTAGGAGACAAGTTGCACTCAGGGGTCAAGGCAGGAAGTTGAGACACAGCTGGGAGCTAAGCATGGAAGCAGAGCTGAGCTGGGTGGCACTCCCTCCCCCACCCCCCCCGGGGGGGGGGGGGGGGAGAAACTGGCCCAGGCTCTGCTATACACCCATGAATGTTACTTCATGGCCCCAAAGGGGGGCATGCCCCGCATTTTGAGGACCACTGCATAAGAGGTATAGAAAGCTGTATAAATGTCCATGACAGCAAATGCCTTACGAAAATACTAGGCATTAAATGGAGTGAATTTATAACAAATGCCACGATTTGGCAGAAGGTTCAACAACTTATCTCCTCGAAGTTCCTCCAGAACAGAATTATTCTGCTGGAAGAATTTGAAAAATATTTTACACACAGAAGCTCAACTTTGATCTTCCTGGATCTCTTCCCACAAAAGGATTGTGCTCCTCCACACAGTATTATAATCGAGACTTGAGACAAAAAAAGTCAGAAAATTCATATTTATAGTTCACTTTAATTTGGACTCCAATTCACAAATACAATATTTTCAGAACAAATTTCTTAGCACATACAATGTACTAATTTGCACACCTATCAGGTGACTATTCACACACATTTAAAGTCTCAGTTATAATAAAATATATTTTATTTCTCCAGTTTCTTTTAAAGATGTATTATAAAGACTCACAATTTATAAGGAAAAATGCAAATAATCACTTAATATAAACATGTCTAGTCCGAAGCACTCAGACAAATGAAGCATGATAGCACTAGAACTCAGAGCCAAACTGTAATCCTTGTTATATGTGAAGAGGAAATCCTAAAAACATATAGGACTACCTTAACTTTCAAGAGTTGAAAAAGTTTCCTCCCCCCTTTACACACACACACACACACACACACGTTACTTTTCAGTCCAAAAGACAAGTCAGTGTAAACCAAGATAGGATAAAAATAATGTAAACAATCCTTAAAAAGTTCAGGCAAAGTATGTAGCTTCAGTTTAAAGGTATAATTATGACTGTTTCTTAAACCACCCTAAGATCATGAGAAAAATCAGAACAGCACACCTTTCTCACTGCTTTGCAAATGTGAGTACCATTTCACGCAATATAGGCAAGGACTACCTTTTTTATCTGTTTGTATATCACAAGCACAACAGGATCCCATTCTTCAGTGCTACAGCAGGGGACAGCAAGTCCCAGCAGGAGTGCCACAAAGCAGCACCTAAACTGATTTTGAGTGACACACACAGCCTAACCTGCTGCCAGCACAATGGCTGTGCGTTCGGAGGCGCCCCCAAACCAGCTGCGGTGCACACTGCTGCCAGCGAGTCCCTGCTACCTCCTGCTCCACCACCACACACTGCATGGCCCTTCCCTCCTCTGCAGGACTGCATCTGTTGCACAGGGCCCCCGGTCCGGCCATGCCACCGCTGTGAAGGGGGACCGCCGCATCTTGGAGCTGCCAGCGAGCAGAGTGGGTGGCAAAGCCGAATGGCTCACAGCTGGCTGAGCTGCCACAGCCCAAGCAGGGCCTCTGTCTGCACTGGGGGGGCACACTGGCCCGTGCTGTCCACATGGCTGAGGCCCACAGCACCATCGCCTGGCAGGCCTGCCTGAAGCCAGAGGAGCTGTGGGAGCTGGCCAAGAGCCTGGCACTCAGCCTGCATGAGAAGGCACTGTGCCTGCCTCCATGGCTAGCAGCCCTGGGGGGACCGGGAGAGGCGCTTGGTGGCCCCTACTCAGCTGCCCCCTGTGCTGGTGGCTGCTGTGGGAACCGGGTGACCCTGCACTGTGGCCATACTTGCTGCCACTGCAGCACCAAGCGTAAAACGCAGCACAAAAGCAAGTGCCTTCCCACCCCTCATGTCCAAATGCACCTCCCAACCCCATCCAGGCCAGACAGAGTGGCCGCCACTGTCCCCTGGCCAGACAGCCTACTCCCAGCCTACTCTTGCATACTACCTCCCAACCAGACTTTGCACCCTCACCCCCTCGTATATCCCATCTCCTATCCAGACCCTGCACACCCATCCCTGTCCCACACACTGAACCCCTCATTTTTGTCCCCACCCCAGAGCTTAAGGTGTTCTACAAAACCCACTAACCCTGGAACCCCAGAAAAGTAAATCTAGCCTATGGGAAGCCCTGAACCTAAGTCCTCCCTGTCCCTTTCCCATGTCCTGTGGGGCTGGAGCATCAGAAGAGTGAGGTGTCCCATTTGGGGGCCACATCAGTGAGCATGGGAGTGGGGAGGGGGGAGAGAAGGGAGGTTTGAGGTTTTTTTGCTTCTCACTTGTGTAGTCCCCAACTGATTTTTCTGTGTATCAGTGGCCCCCAAACAAAAGTGGTTCCTTACTCCTGCCATAAATGAAGACAATTCTGAAACCTTTTGTGTTGGATATAAACTAATATTTTACTTTATTTAAAATGAAGTTTGATAAAGTAATATAAGAAAGTTAAAAAGCTTAGTCTGTTTAATATTTTAAATTAAACCATTCTCCCTAGCTGCAGCACTAGCAAAATGGCTCAGGGGTAATTATGTAATTAATGGTGAGTTTCCATGAGCAACTGGTGGTCCACTGAAAAGTTTGCACTGGGCCAGGTGGTCTATGGGGTGCATGTTGGAGAGAGCCCATTCCCCCCTCCCAGGAGAGCAGCACGGCCTAGGGCAGGATGCTTAAATCTTGGCATGCCACTTTGGAAAGGTTGCTGACCCCTGCGCTACAGTAATACAACTAAAGTAACAACAGACTTCAATAATGCAATACAACTGGCAAGCATATACACTCTTCAACAAATAAAAACAGCCATACTAGGTCATACCAAAGATCCACCTCGCCCAGTAGCCTGTCTTCAGACAGTGGCTAAGGTCAGGTGCCCCAGACGAAATGATCAGAACAGATCAAGTGATCCCTATCATCAATTCCCAGCTTCTGACAGAGACTAGGTCAGGAATGAGCAATAACATGGCAGCGGTTCACCAGACCGCAGCCATGCAGGGTAATATTGCAGATCACTGTTTCTGGCCACTTCCTGCAGCTCCCATTGGACAGGAACAGCGACCTACGGTAGGGATGTTAATGGTTAAGTGGTTAACACCACCCTTACTGGTTACAGTTAACTCGTGGGGGCTATAGCAGTCACCTGCCAGATGCAGGCAGGGGGCATTCCAGCCCAGACAAAGCAACTCCCACCCAGGGCAGGCCTGGCCACTTCAGCTCGCCTGCCCCTATTATAATTATAATAATTAAAAATAACATTTAATTGCTTAATTGATTAACACGATTTTACATCCCTAATCTGTGGCCAACAATAACTGTGATTGCCTATAACTGCAGCTGTGCAGGAAAATACAACAGTAGGGGCCCGCCAGGAGCTAACACTGGCAAACTGGATCTGGTCCATGGGCCAGTATTTGCCCACACCTGGACTAGGTACATCATGTTGCCTCTCCCACTGACTTCAATGCTATGCCATGCACATGTGCATAAAGCGAATAGAGGAGGGAACCAACTCCACAGTTTCTTCACCAATACAGAATCCAGATGATGTAAGACTGTAGAAGTGGGCATAGAGGATACATTGTAAGATATATGGAAAACATCTTAAAGAACCAGAGTTACTGTAAAGTAACTTTTCTTCTTTGAATGTTCCTCCATGCCTATATCACTCTTTATGACATGCAAGCAGTAAGCCTATAAAACAGCTTTGCCAAAGGAGACATTTAGTCTAGATACCCCAATCTAGATCTTAACCAATGGTGTTTTGAGAAAACACAGATTGATCCTCAAGTAGTTTCTATATATATTTCTGAGATAGGCAGGGGCAGATGACCGTTTTGCGGGGCCCTGGGCAGCATAATTCCGCGGGCCCCCCCCTTTGCCACGGCGCATGCGCGGGGCTTTCTGAAGCGCGGGGCCTGGGGCGGCCGCCCCTGGAGATAGGAACAATTTTGAAAAAACTGCCTGAGCTCAAGTGAAATAAGCCCTTATTTGACCTGGCCAAATTAGATAATATAACCTGAGACCCACATACACAGAGTATATAGCTTGGCATTTGTTGCCCTTATGGAGAGAACAAACAATATAGATCAAACACTGAATGACTTAATTCTACCAAGGTAAAGAGAGAGGCCCTTGTGTATATCTTAATAGTGGTGTCTAGACTGCCCTTGGTTGGCACGGGGAATAACACAGGTAAATGAATTGATTGAAGTGGGAGTCAAAAACTGCCTTGGGTAGAAATTTTGAATACAGCCTAAGTATAACCTTGTTTTTGTACGAAGAGGGAGGCTGCCACGAGTGCCCCAATCCTAGTGGCTGGTGACTGCAACTAAGAAGTCCGAAAGATAATGCAAGGAACAGTACGCCAACATGAGTGGCCATGCCTTCAGATGCTTAGGTAAACAAATAGTCTGGCAGCCCACCAGCGATTAACCCTGACAAGCAATGTTCCCTCTATTTTTTTCTGTCCATATACAGAATACATTTTGTTGTGCACCGAAGCATCTACAAAAGTGCACCACCAATAGAAACACATACTGCCAACTGTGGGAGGCTGGGGGTGCTCTGCTGATCAGCTGGGCACCACTGGA